TCTTCTCCAGATCGCCCATATGATCGCTCTCCTACCTATTATGAATATGTTGATTGTGAAGTCATCACCTTGGTCCGGATGCCATGATTCTAATAGGAGGGTTTTCCATTCCCAAGGCCAGGATTGAGAAGTATTTATTTGATTCCAGATTCTATCCCACCATCTCCAAATCCAGATTCACCCCGGGCATTGGAGAAAAATATGCTTTATAATTTCATGAATGAGCTTGGATGGAAAGACTCATTTCCAAAATTTACACCATGGGGTGGCAATGCCCTTCTGTTCAAGAGATGACCTATCAATGATCCAATCATTCGTGGGAAGACATCTATGAACAATTTGTCATTGAAGAGAAGCAATTTTGGCTGGTTTAGTTTTAGAGGCTTGGAACCATTTAATTCTTTTTAACTCGTCTTTACTAACATTAAGGTTCTTATGCCATCTTTCTTCAATACGGTCTTTTAAGTTAAACCTAGGCCGGAGCATCCTATATGATGCTTTGACTGTGAGAGTGTGTAGGTTTCTTGGATGAGATTGACTACATTTCCCAGGGAGTGACCAGCACCAGCTAATGGGGTCAAAAGGCAGATGAGAGATAGGAGTGTGTGGTCTAAAGGCAAACCATTTTTCATCAATCTTGAACACTCTAATCCTGAAGATTTGGTCATGCGAGCTCCAACTAATTTCCTCCTATTTCCCCCGGTAGAGGATGTCATCATCTTGAATTTGAAAAATTAATAGAAGAATTTGATTCGGGTTATGGATCACAATTATATTACCAACTATGCCCTCAATATTATGAAATGCTACCCAATCATTTTCAATAAGTTTGGGACCTTTCCGTAGGATTCTGATCCATTCTAGTGAATGTCAATTATCGAATCTAGAGTTGCAGTCTGATGGTGACTTTATCTAAGTTGTTCATGCAGATCCGAAGCCGACCTCCAGTCTCTGATATCTTGGTCTGAGCCGTTCTATAAGTTTAGGTGGTTTTAGTCTCTTCCTGCTTTATTCTAAAAAAAATGAACTTGACAAAGGGCAAATCGTTCTGTAAGTTCAGGTGGTCTAGCCCAATGTCATGCATAGCTTATATCAGAGAGGAACGAATCAGGCAGAGATACAGACTTTTCTGTAAGTTCAGGTGGTTTGATTCAAAGCCCGCACACGTTGGAACCCAAGGTTATAATTTGGCTATATTTTATTACTATTTTATCTATGAACAAGCTAATCAGACCGTTCTATAGGTTTAGGTGGTCTGACTATGGCATATCACAACCTGAAGAGAGTATAATTAAGAGTATAACTAAAGATAACTTGGGTGGACTGAGCATTGTTTCTAAGATGAATGACTCAATCCTACGCCCACTTTGAAGATTAAGTTCAAAGAAGTATATATAACTTGGCTATTTAAACAGTTCAGGGCGACTAGAATGACTTAGTCATATGCCCAAAGAAGAGAAAAGTTGTTGTGCCCTGTGTTTGTGTATACTTTGGCTAAGTTGGGCTCATTCCATAAGTTTGGGTGACCTGATTTTAGGTCTGGCCAAGGTAAGGTTCATTCCATAAGTTTGGGTGTCCTGACCCTATGCCCTATGTAAGTTGGGTATAAAGGGATAAAGCATTGAAAGACTATGAACTATTGTTTGCTAAGTTGATTTTGGGATGGGGAGGGTACTTACCTTTGTGGTTTGACCTGCATGTGACTACGTGCGACTACTACTTGTGTAGAGTTTCAGTTTGACAAGTAGTTGCTTTAGTTGCTCGCCACGTGCTAGAGCTATAGGAGTTAGTTCAATTTCTGCATTTTCTGAGCTAAGTTTACTTTTACCTAGGTCGATTTCTGCATTTTCCGAGATCATTTGCTATACTTGGCTTTGTATAAATTTTGGTAAGCTTCTTTCTCTACGGGAAGCGCTGCCGAAATTTCTGCAAATCCAACTTATCCAAGGAGTTAGTCACATTTTGAGTTTTCAAAGGTCAGCTTGTCTAAGGTTCATATATGGCTTAGTAAAAATCTGGAAAGTCTCATTTACTAAAAAGAGTGCTGTCCAAATTTTTATAATTCAGGGAGTTAGACGAAATTGGACTTTGGCTGTGTAACGCTCCGTACGATGTACGGGGGGTTTATCGTACGGTCGTATGAACGGCCGTACGGCCGTATGTACAGCCCCGTACGAGAAAAAAAAAAAAAAAAAAAAAAAAAAAAAAAAAAAAAAAA